CCAACTCCTCGAACCTGCGAGCATTGGATAGTCGGCACCCGACACACTGCCCCTGAAAAATGAAACCTGAAAGATGTAACACACCTTTCCGTGTTCGGAACGGATGCGAAACGATCGCAATGAAATGTACCCACACACTGTGTAGTTTCTTTTATGGAGACCCGAATGAACAGATGTAAGTAAATATGTGAGTTGATATTCTAATTTCGCGAACGTTGTGAATTATGGACATTGTATAACAAGATGATGAAGGAGTAAACAAAGGATTTGGTCTCAGAACCCTACAGAATATCATAGACTTACACCAAAAATAACCCCACCACCAACCTTCAGTACAATCAATAGAACTCACTGCAGTACATACCGCACGGACATAACCTAAAAACTTGTGCCTAGGCCCACATGAGGTAAGTAAAGGACCGAAAGAGATTCTCCTCTTCTCCCGGTTACCTCTTTAGCACAGACCACGTACAACGGGGCCAACAACAGGTGGCTTACCCTTTGTCAAAGTTAATTGATTGTCTTATGTCAGACATAACAACATAATCAATAACTACTTTTGTCTTCTCTTCTAGAGCTCGCATGAGAAAATTTCTAGCTCGGACGTGGCTAATCGAAATACGGCCATGAAAAAATGACGTTCGATCGTAAAGTGCCCCGAGACTACTCGCGACAACAAGAAACATAGACACAATCCTCCAAATTCTTCAAATCCAGTCATGAGATGAAAGTGGTACTTTCATAAAATATTCTTGTTGTGGGGACGATAGTACCTATGCACAACGGACAAAGAGGAACTCCATATTTCCACTACCCACGACGGACATAGACAACAAATACTTGTGGGAGACGCCAACACACCCGGAGACAACACGAGAGGGTGCATAAGTACTATGCGACGAGAAACAGTCGGACTCTCTCGGGACGCGTCCTTCTCGCACAGCGCCACACGTCGCCGCGGCGTATGCGGAAGATGTGCAGCCGGAGCTCCCTGAACGAGCCGAGCCAGTCCCGTTTGTGTGGCGTTACCTCCTTCGGTGAAACGCTCATAGCAGAGACGCCGCGTCTCGTTCTCTGTTCCACTCGGTCGGGGTGCCAGTCTCTAGTCACGTCGGCGCGTCTCGACCTCGTCGGCGAGTCGGTGCACTACCGATCTAGTCGGTCACAGTAAACAGGACGGTGTTGTCACCCCTCCACTACCCTCGCGAAATGTTAAGTGAGAATTGTCCGTACACCTTAGGCGTTAAACACTTAACGAAAGGGAGACACACACTTTTGCCTATTCGTGTCCTACCTTGCCGACATTGCCCCGGGACGTGTGATGAAATCGACAAAATGTTTGGATTTCTGGTTTCTAGTTTACAATTTTCTTTTAGATGTAAGTTTACGGTGGTTGTTAACCATTTATTTAGAGTTAGGCTTCGGATGTTTTAGGTTTTCTTTTTGAGGTGGGTTTGTAGTTTAGACTTGTTTTTGAAAGACCTTGCGCTTGACACATGAGTTAGATTTTATTTAGAGGTTGTTTAATTCCCGTCTAGTATACTTATGCGAGGGTACAGCACGTCATTATAAAGTTTTGTTTTCAATTTCTTTCTGTTAGACACATGTTTTCTTTTTTAGCTCCGGACGCGAGCTAACAGTTCTAAGAGATGAGTGCGGGCTGAAGGAGGTGAGTGTTGAAGCGTATCTCAGTAGTTCTGTCTGTCGAGGTTGATACGAGTAGATTTCGCACGAGGGTTTTAGTAGACGGAGGTTTGTGTTGTAAGAGGGTTTTTTATTGCGTACTCTTAACGGTTTTTAGACCTTTCTTTTAGAGAGTTTACAAAGGGGGGATTCTTTCGCTGTCCTTCGCGTGAGTGAGACAATCTATCCCCCAAAGCCACGGAGACCCATGCGGAGGAAGTACAGCGCCAGGAGGGGTTCGTAGAAGCGTCGCGGACGACCCTCCTTTATATGTTCCTTGACCGTGATCACTCCCACTTTAAATATAGATTCCAACTTCATACTTATGTGGAGTCACATGCCGTACACTGACACACTACCCAGCGTCGTGTATCTGTCGGATATTGGCCCTTGTACACGTGTTCTATAGTGTTTTCGTCCTAATCTCTATCTTTGTTGTAACCGCGTGTTGTCATCTCTCGATCTAACGTGACTTTTGGTAAAAATTGCATGTTTTAGTCTGTGGGCTTACTAAATTCAGTTCATGCGGGGAATTGTCGCCCCAAAAAGACATCACTGACACACGTTTACAAGTAAGATCGACAGTGACTCTACTATGACAACGCGCGGACTAGAACATACTAGTTACCAGCTAAACGGCTGTTAAGACACTCACCGAAAAACCCCCACGTAAAAGCGTCCGAATAACGCTCTGGCTTAGCGCAAACACAGTTAAAAGAGACGTGTATAAAAAGGTCCTTTATGATACGAATTGTACCGGCTCCCCAAATTGGAGCTCATACTTCTATCCGGTAAAGATGTACAAGATCGAGACAAACCCCCAGCTTACATAGACAACGTAATTAAAACCTTCCTATAATCCCTGAAGACCTAGTAGGCCGTGTAACCGGAGTCGTAGTTCATCCTCCCGTAAAACTCCATGATCGCCTTGGCATCCCACGGGCGCAGTTCCGAGGGGCTTGTCTGAATTTTATAACTACACCCGTGGACGATGAACTTCTCCCAGGGTCAAAGTGGAAAGGACCGCGGGACGGCACCCAAGGGAACTCGGTTCCGATGGTCGAATAAATAACCTTTCGTTCCCTGCTAGAGCAGGTGTTCGTCTCCGTATAGTTGACATAGTAACACGAAACGACCGAAGTAGTCCATGTCTAGGGTTTACAAGGAAATTTCGCGTCCGGTATGGACGCTACTCGATCTAGTTTCACCAGTGTGTCCTCCGGTATCCGGAGGCAAGTATACATACTCGGTAAAGGAGCACTGACGTAATTTCGGCAGTAAAAGACTAGAGCGGACTTGTATCCGAAACGATCTTTTACGTAAAGTTTCTACGGTTAATATTTAGCGCCCGAGGATCTAGGTAAAAGAATTATGGACTACAACAGACGAGTTACACACCGATGAGCAAATGATACGTCAAAAGATTATTTGTTCGAGTGGTATTTGTATACGCGTTCCACATCGTGTAGCGCGACGGAGATGCTACAGAGAGATATACACCGACGAACACCTGGAGGAGTTGTGATTACCGATTAATAGTAGAGAGACTGTAGTAGATGGGGCACCGGAGAATCGATGAGAAGACGGATAACATCATGGAGGAAGAACAAACCTCTGCGACGTACAACGTACGTAAGGAACGAGACGCGCGACCCCAGTGATCGGTGGTGTACCCCAGAAGCTGTGGAGGAGTGTGTCTGTCCTGGTAATTTTTGGACGTCCCACGTTTGACTGCCCTACTTGTACACAAATTCGAATTATTTTTTGTTACTTTTACTAAATTAGTCGGGACTCTTGCAGAAGATGTTGCTATATCAATCTCTTCCTGGACACGGTATATATTTGTTTATGTGTATTTTTGTTTGGTAATTACGAGATTTGAGGATCTTGTTTACAAACATCCACATATAACATCGTTAATATATGGACAGCCCTCCATGTTATGGATCACTATTAATATACCCGGACAACCAAAGTAAATATAATTTATATCTAGCCGTAAAATGTACTACAAATAGTGACATGTTTTCTCGTAAAATTAGTCGATGACAATAATTCATGGATAGACCCTCATAGTATTTCTAAATTATTACAGAGATTTTCAGTTAAATGTTTTAATCATTTTTGTTATTTTATATTATAAGTATACATTTAAATTATTTTAGGAAGGTTGGGTATTCTTACAATATTTTCGGATGAACACACACAGTCTCTACTTTATGGAAAGATGGATGTGGTTGTGTGTGTCGTCGTGGGAGAAACCGATGTATAATAATTACACCCCAATCCACAACGTATCCCTCGGTATCTAACCCGTCGTCCCGGCTGTCTGAGTTTTTTATCGAAGGAGAATCTTATTATCGCCTCCAAAATGTAGGAGTTTATTTACTTATTCCGAGTCAAACACCTATCTCTATATCCCAGTAAATAATCAAATCCATATTAA